TTGACACTGACCAAAAGTTGTTCATCACATGTGAAGATTGGGCAAGGAGAACAATATTTAACGCCCGCACGAAAGCAACGATTCCATGGCTATCGGCGAAGCTCACGATGCAAGGGCGCGCATGTAAAACCCATGTGTTGCACGTGTGAAGGGTATGTGCATATCGTTCGAGACTGTGCCACCAAGGGAACTACCAAAGAAGGAGGAGACACTGGGGATCGCAAGGGTGCCAACAGTAACCAAGGAGCGCAGGTAGGTGGATGCCAAGGAGGGTGCCAGGGCACTAAGGGTTACGTTTGGGCTTACGTTAAAGGTGCTTTCGCATGGGAGCCCCCAGGAGGTTACCAAGGGAACCCAGCCCCAGGATAGAGAGGAGGAGGAGGCAAGGGAAGATTGGCGCCGATAAGCGAGAGGGAATGTTACACATGTGGTGGCAAAGATCACATCGCAGCCCGCTGCCCCAAGAACGCCGACGAGGTCACCCCAGGTCAAGGGTGGGCAGGGGGCGCTGGAGAGCCCGCGCAGATGTCGGCGCCCCCCGCAACTGGGCCGGGGTGCTACAGCGTCAGAGTGGGCGAAGCCACTGGCGCAGATGGAGTTATCGGCAAAGTCGTGGCACCGAGGTCAGTTGAGGGGCGCAGGAATGGAGGGCGCAGTGCGGGGGAGGCAAAGTGGAGGAACAGGGGGGCGAGGTAAGGAATTGTGAGGAGGCGCGCGCCGCGCGAGTGCAGCGTCGACTGTGGCCGCAGCACCTGCTGGGGCAACCGAATCGCATCGTGCATCAAGAAGGAAGACAATGAAATGCAGAAGTTCTCCGAACTGCAGCTGGGGGAGATGGGGGCCCCGACGAGGAAGTTAATGAAGTGCCGGTGAGGGGCCGGGGGGGCGGTGTGGAAGCGATAGTTGTATCGTGGACTCAGGAGCGTGCAGCGCGATTGGAATGCGGAACGTGGGGGCCCACTTGCCGGGTGCGCCCGCGGAGGTCTCCAGGGGCGGCAGGCGTCGCGGCGCGGCTACTGGGTCGGGTATCAAGGGCCGTGTGTAACGAGTCATCGTGGATAAGAGCGAAAAGGGGTCCGTTGTGAGCGTGCCCATCCAGGTAACCAGCGTTCAGAAGGTGCTCGGGTCTACGCGCGACATGGTGGAGTCAGGACACCGCATTCTGTCCGATCGAGACAATGATGGGCGACCTAGCAGTCGCCCTGAGCACGCAGCAACGGGGCAGAAGACGATGATCCGTGCAAAGAATGGTAACTTCCAGTTCGCCGTCTGGGCCCCGAATGGCGCGGCGTGGCAGGGGGGGGGGGGGGCGAGGTGGGTCGAGGCAGTCAGTGATGAGAGATGTGGGGGCTTTCCCAGGCAGGGCGCTCCCAATGGCGGACGGGCAAGCCTGTGAGCCCCAACCGAAATCTAATCATCATTTTTTTGAGGAAGATGAATATTGGGAGGATGGGGGCAGCGAGTTAGGTGGCGCGGGGGATGTCTTTGTCGGTGAGGAGGCTGAGGCGCCCCAGTGGATTTCGTGCGATCTGAGACCGGGCGCGGTAGAGATTGAGCTATGTAGTAACATTCATTTACCGCGTCGCAGCCCGTGCCCCCGCTGCGCTAGCAGCGGGGTCAAGGGGGGTCCCGCGGGGGGGGGGTCATGGGCGCTGGATCGGGGTGTGCCGGTGGTCTCAGTTGACCGCGCGTGGTTAAACGGGAACAGAGAGGGCGAGGAAGAAGGCAGGGGGGGCCCGATCATCGCCGTGCACTGCTGGGGCTGCCGACCTGGGGGCGGGTTTTATTCGGGAAGGAGCCCGTGGCCAGCCGTGGCTATTCGCGATTGGATTCTACTCGCTATGCGCGAGAGTGCCGCTCCAGTGGATTCGTGGGGCTTGCCGACGCCAGGGCTGGTTGAGAGTCCCGGGGGCCTGCGAGGCATGTGGAAGCGTTGCTGAGGTACGGCCAGATACCGATGGGGGCATTTGCGCGGGTCACCGTCAAAATGGCCAAGCGCGTGCTCGGGGCGACGCATCAGGGAGCGAGCTCCTCCCATCACTCATTTCAAGAGCTCGGGGGGAGGCGGCGGGGCACTTCGGGAAGCAGGAGGTCTACGGGGGGAATGAGGGGGGGGAATGATGGGCTGTTGCCGGCAAGTCCCCCAGTGTGTGCGAGCTGGATTGAAATTGACAAGGGCGGCGAGGCTATTACCGAGCGCCGGTCCCAGCTCGCAGCCAAGCGTGTTAAGTGCACTTCCACGGAAAAGAATATAGTTACAGACGCCCGTCTATTGGAGGCCCACCATGTGGTTCCCCATTGCCGAGGGGGCAGGGCGTGGCCGAGGGGGGTGCGCGAAAGTATTCAACGTCAGATTTATTTGTTAAGCGGGGATGCTTTGATGGCGACGCCAAGGAAAACATCTTCATCTGGTGGCCCGGTGAAGATCCTGAACCGGGCATGCGTGGAATATCTTCAATGACGATGTCCGGTACTGGGGGCGCCGCCATCACCTGGGATGATTTTTGCGTGGGTATTTCGCGCGTCGTTGGTTTTGGCAGCGGGGGGGATCGCCGTGCGTTTCTGCGCGCGCGGCGCGGCGAACCTGGCTGCCAGTTCATGGGGGCGATTTAATCTTATAGGGTGATAATGCGGATCTTTGTTGGTTCGGAGAGAATCAATGATAAGTTTGAAGTCAATCTGGGGCAGGTTCGGGCCAGGGCCAGGGGGCTTGCAGTCTATCGGGTTTTCCAACTGAATGGTGGAGAGGAACCGGGATGGGTTATGGTGCGAGGTGGATCGCAGGCATGCTGGGGTAATCTTTAGAATGTAGGTCAGGGGAAAAAATTGAGATGTGAGATGCCGGGCGCAAAACAGCTTGGGGCCCGCCGAGCCGTGGAGTTCAGTTGTGCCGAGCTTCGGCTGGGGTGGATTATTCAGCGCAAGATCGCTCGGACATGCAACTCTCCGTCAAGGAGCTTGCGCGCTCTACGTCGGCCCCGACTCGAAGGGCATGGGCAAGCTTTGCTAGGCAAGTAAGTGCCTCGACGATCACGACAGGGGTCAGTATTTGTGTTTGTATCAAAAACGTCTTAAGGTGCGAGCCGCGCGGGCTGACGCTGGCTACGTCGGTTGCAAGAAATCGCGTGAGTCAACGAGCGGAGGAACAGACATGTTGAGAGCAAATTTGATAAAGACGCGGAGCTTGGCTCAAACTGTACTGGGATTATCTTCTGGAGAAGCAGAGTATGGCGGAACGGTGAGAGGCGGCTCAGTCGCGCTAGGACTGCATGCGTGTCGCGGAGATCTTGATGTTGGTTATGACCCTTCTTTAAAGAGCGATGCCAGCGCAGCTATTGCTATTGTTTGCAGGCGAAGACTAGGAAACGGCAGACGCATCGAGGTTTGTCAGATTTGGTAACAAGATAAAGTACGACAAGGAGACGTCAAAGTGATCAGATCCAGGACTCATAAGACACCTGCGTGTTCTCTGACTAATATGTGAGCAGTGACAGCATGTCCATGCGCATGCGCGGTACCAACCAACATCTTTCGACGGAGCGGCACGAGTTGGCGCCCGCTACGGAATGGTAGCTCAAATCCCATTTGGGTTGTCATCGCGTGCCGCTTTGCCGGATGCTTGATCTCGCGGTGAGTTGATGTGCAGGTGCCCGTGTACGCGGTTTAAAAGCTACACCACAGAAGATGTTAATCATTCTGCGTGGCTTGCTGCTCATTCAAAACCGTGTATCGCGTGTTAGGAAGCGCCTCGCCCAATTCATACCAGCCTGTTACGTGCACCAGTTATGTTTTTAATTGCAGTAGTTTCGCACCTCCACGTGCCAGGATGGAATCCTTGCTTGCGTCTGTGCATTTAGATTCGCCATCTGGCGTGTAATAGCGTCTGTGAACACAGTCGTAATTTTCTTTTGCCCCGGCGGTCTCGCTTTTGATATCTCGCCCGTCCCCATTTCTGGCTTATCGGCTGATGGGGGGTGTTCATTGATGGCGTCCCGACTGGGTGAGCAGTAGGGGTGCTGTTCAGTTTGCCCAATACACTCCGGACTGTTTTACATGCTTGTCCGACACCAGTGCTGTTTGGCTCAAGTCATCCTTGCTTCCAGGGGAAAAGGCCCCCATCATATTTCCAGATTGAGTTCCGTAGATGGTTTGGAACTCCTCCCTTGGAGGCAGCCGCAGTGGCGTGGAATGAAATGGAACAGGTCTGTAGTGATGCGGGCGCCTCCGAGCTTGTGGTGCGCGTGCATTAAGACCTGGTTCGGATGTTAGGTCACATATTCCTGGCTCCAGAATCGGGGCCGCAGGTGTTGTGTGGGCTGTGATTCGCCCAACAGCTTGGAACATTATGTTACGTGTGCGCCGTTCCGAAAATTGGGGCGGTTGATCCTAGGCTGGCCGCTGTCTGATGCTCCCCTCGTCGCCTTCGCCCTCGTCGAGCCATCGCTGGACTCGGCTCGAGGTATGGCGGTGATGCTCCACCTGGACCGCCGTTTCCATCAAGAGGGGCGCGATGTTATCAGCGGGTCGCTCTCCCCCCTCGATCGTTCGTTCGATCGCCGAGGTCGTCTCCCCCCCCCCCGCGCGAACGGAGCGGGAGGCGTGTGGGAGTTCATCACCCCCGACGAGGCCGTCGGAATCGTGTCAGAGTTCGAACCCGCCAAGGCTCCCCGGCAGCTTCCGTGGGGGGGGGGCGAGAGGGAAGACTTTTTCAGGAAGGTGCGGGGTCCTTAGGGTCAAGTCGGGCCTGTCCCTCTACAGGAGGGGATACGCAAAAATTGTAAAAACATGGTCGGGGGACGTGTTTTTTTGGCTTGCTTATGTTGGGGATATTTTCTGAGTATTCTCAGTTTTTTGCCCAAGCTCCCCCTGTAGGGGGACAGGCCCGACCTAACCTTAGGATTTCCTGAGGAACACGTGTCCTGAGGTCCGTCCTCGTTTGTGGCCCCCTGGACCCAGGACTGTCCGAAACCATGCAGGACGAAGATCAGGTGTTGGAGGAAGGCCCCGGGACTCCAGGACCCGTTGCCCTTAGGACCTGTTTGCTTCATGCCAAGGGGCGCAGGGCCCTTTTCCCGTCAAGAAACGGCCCGGGGTGAAGAACCGGTTCCTGGGAACGGGTCCTGAGTTCTGGTGGGTCCACGCTGCGACAGAATTGCGACTCCACAGCCAGAACATTTCCATACCCACTGCCCCGGAGTCGTGCTTCGGGATCTTGAGGACCTCTCCGGGAGTGATGGATTTGGATATTTGCACGCCCATAGGGGCGGGAAGTATCCACATACATCGCTCCCCAGGGATCCACGGTACGGTTGGCGTTGGCAAGATAGTGAGTGTGCGATGCGTCGCCGTCGGCCGTTTTGCTGCACGCCGCTCCTCACCGGGCATAACGTGCACGGAAGAAGCTCCGGCAGGGGGATGGCCTGCACAGACGGGCTTGCGGGGTGATCGCCTCCCGGGCATGGCGCTCCCTTCGGAGATCGATGCTGCACGCCATCTTTCCAACGCCAACCGCAGGCCTCCAGCAGCCGTGGATGTGGATATCCCTAGGTCGGTCCCCCTACAGGGGCATTCCGGACAAAAAGTAAAACATACCCAAACAATATTCAAAAAAGGTGCCCAGGCTAATTTTTTGGCTATTTTTGAATATTCCCCCTGTGGAGGGACAGGCCCGACTTCAGGATATCCCCTTGTGGCGCAGCGACGTCGGAGGCCTGGGGTTAAGTCGGGCGTGTCCGTCTACAGGGGGAATATTCAAAAATAGTAAAAAAATAGTCTGGGGACGATGTTTGGACTATTTTTGGAATATTTGGGGGTATTTTTTGAGTATTGTTTATTTTTCGCCTGAAATCTCCTGGTAGGGGGACACGCCCGACTTAAGCCGGGGGCTGCAGGCCACGGCCTCGCCTGCGGCGGGCGGCGGCGGCGGGCCGGCGCCTGCCCATGGGGCGAGGGGCGGAGCCGGGCCCCCCCCGCCACCCCCCCCCGCCGCCTGCCAGGTTGATAAGAGACTCGCTGGCCCCAGGCACTCCAGCGTTTTTTTGTTTGTTCCCCACATCCTGAGTGGGGTTCTTGTTTTCCCAGAACACCCTCTCCTTCTCCTCCTCCTCCCGCGTCCTTCTCCTAAACCATACCATACCAAGCCATACCATACCAATACCTTACCATACCAATACCATACCAAGCCATACCAAGCCATACCATATCAATACCATACCATACCATACCAATACCATACCAATCATACCATACCAAACCAATAACATCCCAAGCCATACCAAGCCATACCATACCAATACCATACCATACCAATACCATACCAAACCACGAACAGAACAGAACAGCAACCAAACCAATAACATCCCAAGCCATACCAAGCCATACCATACCAATACCATACCATACCAACCCCTCCAGGGAGGCCCCGCCTGAGCGAGGAGGGTATTCGCATCACCTGTTATTTCTCAGGTTTCGTGCCCCTCCCACCCCTCCAGGGAGGCCCCGCCTGAGCGAGGAGGGTATTCGCATCACCTGTTATTTATCAGGTTTCGTGCCCGTCCACCCCTCCAGGGAGGCCCCGCCTGAGCGAGGAGGGTATTCGCATCACCTGTTATTTCTCAGGTTTCGTGCCCCTCCCACCCCTCCAGGGAGGCCCCGCCTGAGCGAGGAGGGTATTCGCATCACCTGTTATTTCTCAGGTTTCGTGCCCTGTTATTTCAGGTTTCGTGCCCAGGTCCCACCCCTCCAGGGAGGCCCCGCCTGAGCGAGGAGGGTATTCGCATCACCTGTTATTTATCAGGTTTCGTGCCCCTCCCACCCCTCCAGGGAGGCCCCGCCTGAGCGAGGAGGGTATTCGCATCACCTGTTATTTATCAGGTTTCGTGCCCCTCCCACCCCTCCAGGGAGGCCCCGCCTGAGCGAGGAGGGTATTCGCATCACCTGTTATTTACAGGTTTCGTGCCCCTCCCACCCCTCCAGGGAGGCCCCGCCTGAGCGAGGAGGGTATCGGAATACCATACTATTTACAGGTTTCGTGCCCCTCCCACCCCTCCAGGGAGGCCCCGCCTGAGCGAGGAGGGTATCGGAATACCATGTATTTATCAGGTTTCGTGCCCCTCCCACCCCTCCAGGGAGGCCCCGCCTGAGCGAGGAGGGTATCGAATACCTGTATTTATCAGGTTTCGTGCCCCTCCCACCCCTCCAGGGAGGCCCCGCCTGAGCGAGGAGGGTATTCGCATCACCTGTTATTTATCAGGTTTCGTGCCCCTCCCACCCCTCCAGGGAGGCCCCGCCTGAGCGAGGAGGGTATTCGCGAACAGTGCTATTTATCAGGTTCCGTGCCCGTCCCACCCCTCCAGGGAAGCCCCGCATGAGCGAGGAGGGTATTCGCAAACCATGTGATAGAAAAGGATGGAGAGGGCGAGGGCAGGTCGGCAATTTCTCTACAAAATGTTGCTTGATCCCGCTAGCCCAAAAACATCATTATGTGGGGAACTCCGTTATCATAATTTGTTTTGTTTTTTTTCCTTGGGGGCAGACCCCATAATCTTCTCAGTTCGCCTGGAATCGGTCCCTGTCGTCGTTCCTGCATGGGAGCTCTCCTCCTGCCTCCTCGGCGCCATCCTCCTCCTCGCCCTGGCGCAGGCCTTCCTCCCGCTCCTGCCGTTGCCCGGCCCTCGCCCTCCTTCCTTTTCTCCCTTTCCGCCACCTCCCCCACTCCTATTGCAAGGGCGCGCCTATCGATTTTCTGCTGCCCTCTGGTGCTCTCTGCTGGTGTCTGCTACACTCTGCTGCTCTCTGCTGGGCTCTGCTGCTCTCTGCTGTTCTCTGCTCTTCAATTGAGGGGGGCTCCCACTTGAGACCTCCCCGCGTCTCACTCACAGACGAAGTTCCCGCTCGAGATTTTTTCAGGATTCCACAGGACGAGGGCTCCTGCTCCAGACTTCCTCGCACGATCTGCCCCCTTGCGGCGCTCCAGTGCTGTGCCTGCTTCATTAGGCCGTTGGCCCCCTCGGGTAAAGAACATAAGCTGGGGACCCCATATACGAGTGGCTCCCGCTTGAGACGTCCTCACGATTCACTCACAAACGAGGCTCCTGTTTGAGGCTCCCTCACGATCTGCCCTCTTGGGGTGCTCAAGTGTTATGCCCCTTTCATCATGCCGGCGACCCGCCCGTATCAAAAACATGAGGCGGGAGGGAGCTCCCGCTCGAGACTTCCCCGCGATTCATGCGCAGACGAGGCTCTCGCTCGGGACATCCTCGCGATCGGCCCCCTCGGGGTGCTCACGTGCAATGCCTGCTGCAGTACACCGATGACCCGCTCGGCGCAGTAACATGACGTGCCCCGTATGGAGGGGGGCTCCCGCTCGAGACTTCCGTGCTAGTCACTCACAGACGAGGCTCCCGCCCGGGACCATGATCGATGATTCTGATGATCGATGATCATGATGGTATGGTGATCTGTGAGAATTGTGGTATGATGATGGTGACAGTGAAGTGTGAAATTACGGTGAGGTGATGATCATGCTGATGATGATGCTAATGCTGATGATGATGGTGATGATGCTGATGATCCTGATGATGATGATGATGATGATGATGATGATGATGATGATGATGATGACCGATGGTCATGATGGGATGATGGTAATTGTGACGATGATGGTGTGATGCCAGTGGCGAGTGTGAAAGGAGGAGAAGAAGAGAGGGTGAGGCGTTCGTTCCTGCGCGTGGTGTCCAGAGAAAACAAGACCCCCATGCAGGAGGGTAGGAACCACCAGCACGACGAAAGGATTTCTGCGATTCTCAGCCTCTTGGGGGCCTCGACGGGCCCCCAGGCTGTCGAAACCACGGCTCAGGATGAAAGACCCGAGGGCTCCACAGGGGGGTTTTTGGGGAGGGGGTTTTCCAGAGAGCCCCCCAGGGGCCTCAGAACCCCGTGAAAACAGGGGGTGCAAAGCCCCTGGGGGACCCTTCCTGGAAAACCCCCTCCGCCAAAAACCTCCCTGTGGAACCCTCTGGTGACACTGGTCCTGGAGAATGGGTCCTGACCTCTTGGGGTTGACGCCGCGAAGCAAAAAAACATGACGTCGGGGGTCCAGGGCAAGGGGCCGAGAGCCCCCAGGGAGCTCCTTCGCTGCAAGAGAGAGCGCAGCGTCGGAGGTCCCAGCGCATAGGTGGGCGGGTGGAGGGGGCGGTGTCGAGAGGGCGCGGGGAGCGGAGTGGGGAGGGGCCTCTCCCTCAAGAGGGCTTTACATGTAGCGGGTCTGGACCTCTGCTCCAGACTATTCTGTGCAGGGCGGTCCCAGATTGTGGTTGTGGCTTGCTCGGCCGGTGAACTTTCCTGCCGGCAGCTGGACAGCGAGGTCCCCGGGCTTCCTGTGCGACGCACAAACTTACCCAGCGCGACAATTTCCTGGTACATGGGCGCATTGCTTGGGGTTTCTTGGCATGGCTCGGCGTTGCTTGGCGTTGCTTGGCATTGCTTGGGGTTGCTTTGCCTTGCTTTGTATTGCTTGGCGTTGCCTGGCATTGCTGGGAAACAAGACCAAGCAACCTGAGGAATTCAGTAAGGAAGCAAGACCCAGCAATATGTAATCCGAGGCCAAGCAACCTGGGCATTGAGGAAAGACAACAGAACTAGGCGATCCGAGGAATTCAATG